GTATATGTCACAAAGTAGCTTTAGCAGAAGGTCTAATGAAGTTTGATATGATACTCTAAAACAGTGGTTGCCAACCAGTGGGCAGGGACCACTGGTGATCCACGAGAAAATTTTGGTGGTCCACAGAGAAATGCAACCCCCAAAGCAATTGATCCAGGCTGCGTGGGAACTCAAGGCTGCACCAACCACACGGCCCAGAGGAACACAAGGCTTCTGTCGCTTGCATTGGAAACAACATGAGGTAGTGAGGGGAGGGGGGAAAGGGCAGAGCGGGGAACTTGTCCTACTTGCCCCATGTGCCTGACCTGGCCTGGCCACTGGGCTGCTTCTTTCTGCTTCTTCTGCTTTTGGCTGCACACAAGGAAAGCAGCAAGTCTTTTTTTTCTCTCCCCCATACTCTGCCAGAAATGAGTCTTTGGGACCCTGCAAGGCATCTGGCTCCAAGAAGCTGCGCCGATACAACAAGTCTTACAAAGACTCATTTCTGGCAGAGTTTATGGGTGAGAAAGAAAAATTTCTGCTGCTTCTGCTGCTTTCCTTGCATGAAGCCAAAAGTCTCTCTCTCTCTCTCTCCCCCTTAGAACCGAGTTGGAGACAGTATCCTGTGATCCCAAATAAAGAATAAATCAGTAGGAAAACAGGGTGGGGAATTTTCCTGCAGACTTTTTGGGGGATGTTCCCAAGGTCTGTGGTCTATGGGATTTAAAATTATGAGTTTGGTGGTCCCTGAGGTCCAAAAGGTTGGCGACCCCTGCTCTAAAACAACTACTTTTCTGAGGTATGCAATTAAGTGCAAATATTTCCATTTTCCCACTACATGAGTTGATACTGAAAAAATCCCTAGTTTTGTCATGTAAACAAGCAGTTAGTAAGAGATGTCGATCAGGCTGTGAAAATGTCATCTGGCCTCAAGTCAAAAAAACCTTATGACAAATCAGTGGCTGGGCGCTTCTGAGCTGTCGTCTAAAACTGCACAGGAAGTCTTGGTCATCAACAGACTGACTTGTGATTTTACAGATCATCTTGTTTGACTTTAATGATTTAAATTTTCTTTCTTTTGCAAGGCAGCCAACTTACAATGTATTTTTCTTAGCAGCAGAATTGTTCCTGACAAATGCTCTGTTATTATATATGTAACTCCTAGATCCTTAGGATATGCTATATAGTATAATATATATAATATACATGTGTAAAACTTTCAACTATAAAAACATTCAGCTTATTTCTTTTACATGTCTCATGTGTTAATAAAGCATAACATTTTGAAATCAGCCCTAGCTTAGTGGTGAAATCTTTCATAATTTTCTAGTTCAACTTTCCGGCCTGGGTTGAGTGGGGGTGCAATTTACAAGCAATATTTTCTCTGTTCCCATTTGTAATGTAGAATTAACCCGTCTGGTTTATTGTACAGGTCTGCTGTAACTGCTTCAGAATTCAAAGACTTGGATTGCAAAGATAAGTACTATTATACCATATTTTTTGGTGTATAAGATGCACTCCCCCCTCCAAAAAAGCAGGTGGAAATGTCTGTCTTATACAGAGAATGTTGCTGAAGCCCCGCCCACCCGTTGCCCCCACCCTTCAGCCTCTGTCTCCCAGCAATTTGCCTCCTTGCAGCAAACAGCCTGGTCAGCTTCAGCACAGCCTGATTTAGCATGAGCAGCTGATTGGCGGTTGGATCAGTCTCCCAGAATACTGATGATCAGCTGTTCCAGTCTGCAGGGATCACCATTGCCCTACCGCTGCCTCCGTATGCCCTATTTTCGGCCTCTGCGCATCCCATTTTCAGTGTGCGGAGACCAAAAAAGGGGCATGCAGAGGCTGAAAAATGGGGTGTGCGGAGGCAGTGATAGCCAAAAGCTATCCCCAAAAGCTAGGTTCGTCTTATAGTTCAGAGCGTCTTATACTCTGAGAAATACAGGTACTATGCTACTACATGGCTATTGGCAATGCTGCCTGAGAATTGTCTCAATATATCAAGAGGGCATGACGTTGAAGAGGGCTGCCCTGTGGAAAACCCACCTATATTATTTCACTCTCCAAATATTACATACTCAAACACTGACCAAAAAAATCCCTTTCAAATGTACTTATGAAATAACACTGAATAAGATCATTATTAATAACTGTTAGTAATGCTCTGGATAGCGGCAACTGTGATTTTCAAAACCCTTTGGAGCTTTGGGCTACCATGTGAGAAGGAAAGCCTCTTAACATATGTGTGCCTAATCAACTTCTAGAATCAAGGCGATCGTTCCTCAGGAACAGGTTTCTTCTGTAGCAGTCTCCCAACTCTGAAATGTCTCAACCAAATAACATTTAGTTATCCACCAAATAACTATTTTGTAGGACTATTTCAGTTTAGATTTTAAAAGTTAAATTTAGAATAAACTATCACCCAGATGGGTTTATTTTTTCAGCCCTCTGGAGACATTTATCACATTTCATGTATAATTTCTGAAACATCAATTAACATGCTAGTCATTGCAACAAAACGAAACTTGCAGCAACTTTAAGATTATGAGAGTTATTATAGCATTAAATTTCCTCATTACATGCTATAGTAACAAAGGAAAATAGAGATACCTTCTGGTCAAGTTTAACTCCTTGTCTCTATATGGATATATAGATGAAATTTCCTTGGCACAAATACAATTATTTTCTTCCAGGACCTTGGGGTTTTTTTTTGTTTTTATTTCCAGTGTACCTATAGGCTTAGGGTTCTTTGGGATTCTCCCATTAAAGTATTAACCAGACCTAAACCTGTTTATTTCTGAACCCAAAGAAGATGAGCCAGTTGCTCCCACCTGCTGAAATCTATCACAACGAAAGCCTTAATTTTTAAAATGCTACACTATAGGAATCTTTATTGCTTTTTATGACTGCCACCAATTATGCCAACTACTTGAACCCTATATGAAATCCTAAATCAATAGCTATTGCAGCTACAAGCATTTCAGATAAATATTCCACTATTTTGCTTTCTTGAGCCACTAGGCCTCTAAGAGCACCAAAAACAAACACAAATCTAGCACTGCAAACCTCTAATTGGCATTTGGGATGTTTTATGTGGATTACGAAGACTCTCCTGCCTTTCTTGTAAAAAAGGAGGGAATTTGAAAGGCTTGATATAAGTCCAATTATAGAATTTACTATATTTAATTCTAATTAAAGTCTAGGTCCTTGAAATTTTATCAAGGGCCTTGGTATTTTTTTTAGACATTTTATTAATGCTTTAGCTGTTAAAACAAAGCCTTTGGAGTCAGAACGGCTCTAGAGAAAGGTTGATAGTATGATTGCAACATGTGCTAAAGAACTTTTAATAACAGATTGAATTGACATATTAATATGGAGCTACTAGCCAAATATTCAGTTCTACATATGTCATACCTTGATTCTCTGTGACTTTACAAATAAAATCTTATTACTCATAAATTGTTACAATACATGTTTTAGATTTTCACATAAATCTTTGAAGTACAAAAGTTCAGATTACAGGCCTAATTCTGTGTGTTCTAACATTCTCAAACTATTTACAGAAAATGCAATGAATGCATTTGCCCACAGCATAGGAGACATGGTTCTGCCAATGGGCCCTAAGTGATATGGAACCCATCAAGTGGATTGTCTGATTGCTGTCACCAAGAGGGTGGGGATTTATTGGTTTTTTTTTTTTTACTGGGGTTTTATTTTCATAAGCTCAGTGAATTGGGTGGCCACCTAAATATTCTAAATAAACAAGCCTCCACTTCAGGAAGAGAGGAGGGCCCTGACTTAAATGGTTTTTAAAAGGAATAAGCTTCTCAATGTTTCCTGGACATTAAACCAGAAGCACCTTGCCTTTTAGTACCAATCTATGGGAAATATGGGTAGAAGGGGACTAAATGCTTTAATCATGCTATTGACTGGCTACTGTGAGACAAAAAGTAAGTTAGTTTGAGCCCTTTCAGAGCCAGAGTTTTCTAAAGCACTGGAGCCTCAACATTCATAGTTATGCTGCCTAGGGAACTATGGAAGTTGGGGTTTTAAGAGATTAGAGAAGGCAGAATAAGACAGACTTTGTATATGATGAGGCAGAATTCTTTTTAATGAATTGTATTTGATGCTTCTCAGATATGCAGTCATTAAGGAAGTGAGTCATGGACTGCATCACTATTTCCCAAATATACTTTGGCTAAATCTTTTTTTGATCCTAGTAGTATCATGACTGTGAATGTCTTTATTTAAAGCATTCTAGCACAATAATACTATATTAATTCTCGAAGCGATATCACTTAAGGGCCCATAGCATTACATGCAAACTGCAAGAATCAGTGGCAAATCATAGTTCTGGATGCACAGGCAATAGTTTAGGATACCCTTATTTTGCTTCCCTTGCCTCCGAGTAGATGTGTCCCAAGGAGGGAAGAGACACATTCTTCCTAGTCTCCTATGCTCTCAAATTATTCAGTCATCCCTTGCAAATGTTTCAGTTCAGATGACTTCTTTCAAGACAGAAAAGCAATGGTCTGCAATAAAGAGACAGGATGCCTTCCTACCAAATTAGATGATGCCATTATTCACCAATCAGAGGCAGCAGTTCTGGTTGCCCATTCACCAATGAGAACTAACAGGCAACTCAAAAGTCAGCCCAGGCATCGGGCAGTGCAAAAAGCTACAGTTTTTTTCACTGTAAAGCCAGGGTTGCACAGTCACACTAACAGAGTTGTTTGTAATGTCTTTTAATGAGATCTGTGCAGAGAAAACAAGAGGGGAAGAAGGTTCATTCTGAAAGCTCTGAAGCAAGGCAGCAAATGAGGCGATTAGTAGAAGCTGCTGTAGTGAGACTTGTCAACAAACAGAACCTTTGAATAATTCAGCATGTGCAAGTGAGCATAAAAACAACTAAAGCTTTAGACTCTACACTGGATTTATTTTTAAGTCCACTCTCTAAGCTGGATTTATTTTTTTTCCTTCAACACAACTCTTGTCTGGTTCTACTAGATCAGAAAGGTACTTACCTGTCCAGCAGTGTCATAAAGCCCAAGAAGGTACTGCTTGCCCCCAACTGTCACACTGACTGCAAAAAGAAAGAAAGAATGAAGTGGGGAAAGGGGACAGGCATATTTAGTTCCTTCTCTCTAGAAGAGGACAAGCAAAGGATCATTTACAATCACTCACCACAATTTGGTGGAAGAAGGGGGGGGATCAGGCATTGAAAATACAAAGATATATGTACATTGCTAGTTCTTTGATAACATGAAAGACTACATTAACACTCGTTCAATATCACAGCCTCACCAGGAAAGATGTCCTGAGTGCATATTTCTCAACCCCCATTAACAGGCATGTGCTCAAACAAGATCAAACTACTGCAACTAATTAAAGTGCTTCAAAAGAAATATTTCTCCTAAAGCTTTTTTGTCATGATTCGCAGGGTCCCACTTAGTATGACTAAAGGTATTTTCTGCTAAAACAACTTTTAACACTTTGCTCTCTCTTCCAGAGGCTTTGTCATTGGGGAGGGGGCAGGAGGGATACTTCTGGTTCATTAAAAAAAACCCAGAGAACAGTTGAAAAATCCCGTCACTTTTCCCTTTCCCACCTGCCAGAACTAACACGTCAACCGTAATGCAGGGAAAGGAAGCCCTCCAAGGGAGGTGGAGGAAGCTGTACACAAGCCATTTTGAGGAGCTGCCACAAACTGTCCCAGGAGCAAAAGACAATCCAAGCCGTTGTAAATTCCAGACTGACGTTCCCTAACTCACTGCACCCTCCAGCTTTTCTCAAAACTCGTTTGACAGTGGTACACATCCTGAAGAGACTCAATCGGGGAAGGCTGACCCGGGTTTTCGTTGAAGGGCGGCAGACGGGAAGAAACGAGAAGAGAAAGGGGGAGAGAGGAAGACGCGGGAGGGGGAGAGCAAAGTTTTTGCCGAAGTTCCTGCTTTGCTGCTTTTTCCTGCTAAGGGGCGGGAGGGAGCGACCGAGACAACAGCCGGGGAGAGGCAGTGGGAGGCGGGGGGGGGGGGGGGCGGGGAAAGGGGGTAGGGGGGCACTTACTCCGCACTTAAAAACAAGACACCACCCCCCCCCCCCCCCCCGTTTACCTGCGTAATGGTCAAAGACTGTGGGCACGTATTCCTCCGGGAAGGCGTCGTTGGCATAGCTCATGAGCAGGCAAGTTTTGCCCACCGCTCCGTCGCCGATCACCACGCACTTCAGCATGACTGTCGCCGCCGCGGCCGCCGCCCCCGTCCCGTTGGCCATGATGAGGTTTCCGAACCGATCGTCATTTTAGAGAGAGGGAGAGCCGAGCAGGGAAAAGGCGGGGAGGGGGTGGCGTAGGGGAGAGAAGAGGCGGGCGGGGAAGCGTTCACGCGCCGAGCCGGGAAAGGCGCCGCTCCTTCGGTGGCATTTCCAGCTCAGCCACTCCGGGAGTTGGGCAGCCTTAGACTGCGCCTGGCAAGCAAGGCTTGGCTGGCTCGCCCGTTTCAGCAGGCGCCACAAATCACTGAAGGTGGCATTTCTTCCGTCCCTCGCCGTGGTCGAAGTCCTCCTCCTCCTCCTCTTTTAGTGCCAAATTTGTCTGGCAGGGAATTTCCTCCCCTGCTCTCGCCCCAGTTAGGCGCGATGACACAGGCTTTCATAAGACCAACAGCAGCAGCAGGCTTGGAAGAGGAACTTAAGAGCAGCAAAACCCGCACCGAGACGGGCACCACTTTCGTCCAGCTCCTCCTCCTCTTCCCCCTCCTCTTCGAATCCAAACTGCTTCGCATGTGCCGGGTAAGCCCTCCTCCTCCTCCTCCCTCCCTCCCTCCCTCGCTCTGTCGCTTTTCCGAAGGGAGGAGAAAGAGAGGAAGGCCCAGACTCCCTTCCAGAGCAAGGGTGGGGAGTGGGATCCCGCTTGACTTTCTTTCTGCTCCCTTCCCCTCCCCTCCCCTCCCCTGGCTTCAGGCACCACTTTTCCAACGCGCGCAGAAAGCAGGGAATTAGCGAGGCCGCCTCCGCCTCGCTCGGGAGGAGAAAGGAGGAGCGAAGCCAAATACTGGACTGTAGCTACAGAAGAGTTGAGGGCTCCTCTCCAAAGAGCCCGCAGCGCCGAGAAACGTCGACGGCTCTTGCAAAGTGCCTGCCTGCTTTGAGCGGTGATGTCAATGATCAAGGCATCCTAACAATTGGATGTGATTCAGGGTTCCCTCCCCCCAGTTCCCACGACAGAATATTTTTTTTGTTTTTGCACTTTGCTATTGGCAAAATGCTTTAGAAATCGTTCTTGATTGAGAGTGACGAGCTGCTCCTAAAATTCTTTCCTCCTATTGGTTAAGTGAGGGAGGGGAAGTCATGTATACTTATATAAATTTGGAAGCCCTTTTTTAAAAATTGAACGCTGGGGTTACAAACTGTACGATTGGGAAAACATCTATCAGTGTCAATTTAAAATCCTTCAGCTAGCAACATCAGCATAATGGAATTGATGTTAGCAAAGTTGTTCTATTTTTGTATACTGTATTAACTTCATATTTTATGCCAACTCAAACATACCTATTTTCATAACAGCACTGTGTGATAAAATCAGTTGGTGAGGTGGGTCACTGAGAAATACTTATGGCTAAGGAAAAAAGATTAACCCAGCTTTCTTCCAAAGTGATACCATCTAAGGCATCAGGCAAGGGTGATAATAGTAACTGAACACATCAATTTATATATTTATATAGTATATATAAAATTCTTTCCTCCTATTGGTTAAGTGAGGGAGGGGAAGTCATGTATACTTATATAAATTTGGAAGCCCTTTTTTAAAAATTGAACGCTGGGGTTATAAACTGTACGATTGGGAAAACATCTATCAGTGTCAATTTAAAATCCTTCAGCTAGCAACATCAGCACAATGGAATTGATGTTAGCAAAGTTGTTCTATTTTTGTATACTGTATTAACTTCATATTTTATGCCAACTCAAACATATCTATTTTCATAACAGCACTGTGTGATAAAATCAGTTGGTGAGGTGGGTCACTGAGGAATATTTATGGCTAAGGAAAAAAAATCTAACCCAGCTTTCTTCCAAAGTGATACCATCTAAGGCATCAGGCAAGGGTGATAATAGTAACTGAACACATCAATTTATATATTTATATAGTATAGTAAACTACAGATGGTTGTCAACAATAGTTAATTTAGTGACTGTTCAAAGTTACAATGGCACTGAAAAAAGTGACAACCATTTTTCACACTTACGCTTACAGTATTCCCATAGTCAGTGATCAAAATTTGGATGCTTGGCAATTGACTCATAGTTATGATGGGTGCAAGTGTCCCAAGATCATGCAATCACCTTTGGTGACCTTCCAAGCAGAGTCAATGGGGAAGCCAGATTCACTTATTAACAGCTTCAGTGATTCATTTAACAACTGTAACAACAGGTCATAAAATGGACCAAAATTCATTCAACCAATATTTCACTTAGCAACAAATTTTTTTGGTGCAATTGTGGTTGTAAGTTGAGCATTACCTATATAGTATAACTAATACAATATATTAATTTTACATTGCCCCATCAGACAATTCTAGGCTATTAATGGAAGAATCCTAGATAGCAAACTCCCAGAGAATAATTCAAAACAGTAATTGAAACAGACTAAAATAAATGCAAAAGGTACCATTCATATGTACTGTGGAAAGGGAACTTCACGAAGACCGTAGTGTCACAAAAACAGGAAAAGCCCAAGGGGAACATCAGGTCAGCCATAAAACAAACTTACATAGGAAAAGGAATCAAATAAAAAAGGTATTAAAGAATCCCTATAGACAAAAGCCTAAGTAATTAAGAAAACTAGACAAATAAGAAAAGGAAACCCTTACAAACACAGGACATACCAAATAAGCAAAACAAACAGACAAAAGACACAAAATATAAATTACAAAAGGACAGACAGGAGATTGCCACAGAACAAATATGAAAAAACCATCATAAAGCTAAAAGAGCTTAGGAAAAAAACCAATAATACAATCTAGCCACCCCACGGAGTTTGCCTTCCGCACCACATGGAGTTTGCCCTCCAGTGGGAATAAAGACAAACTCAAACAGGATTTGAAACATTAAGCACAAATACAAACATTCACACGAAATCAACTCACAAAGGGAGAAAAGGTTATAAAAAAACAGGGACTTACCATAAGAAGCTAGCTAGCCCAGGAACGCAGACTTCTCACTGTCCCCCACCTTCTTGAAAAATAAAAAGATCCAGCTTTCAAGCAGTTGTCCGTATCCTTGCGCCGGAGCTCTCCCAGTGGGAAAATCGAATCCTCGAAGGAAAGGCATTTTGACACCTTTCAACAGTACTAGAGATGAAAAGTTGCCAAAAGACTGCTTAAATAGAAAATATTTTTAAAAAGTTTTCTGAAAGCCAGAAGTAAGGAGGCTGTATTGAAAAACTGCCTTCCTCACATTTTACCTCATGTGGATTGAGACCCTAAGCAGACCTCTTAGATAGCCTGACAGAATGGCAGAACCCTTATAGCACAAGACAATGGCAACACAAGGTAACATCTGGGAGCCCTTGGGTTGGGAAAGGCTATTTGAATCAAAATCTCTAAAATCCAGTTTCATCATTCAGCCCACCATTTAAAAAAAAATTAAGATAGATCCAACCTTTATATCAGGGATCTCCCCACTACCAGGCTATAAAATGATTGACCCAGCATCATCTTGTCATCTTCATGGCTAAGAAGGAGATGGGTCTTTAGTATTTTCCAATCTTCATCACTTCCAAACAAGTGGACTTAACCTCTAAGAATTGCTCAAGACAGCATGGCAATTGCAAAAGGTTTTGGGAGCTAAAGTCCATGTATCTGGACCTTGCCTAAGATTAGGAAAAACACTTCAAGACCATATTTAATCCCATTCACATCTACTTTAAATTAACAACATTAACCTGTAACACATTCCAAAACAAAAAGACAATGATTGTTCTCCCAGTGTAACTTGTGGGATTGGTTCACCAGGCCCAAATTCTTTGTTAGTATCATGGTAAATTAAGAACGCTGTTTCTTGGTGTACATATAGAAGTAGGAGAGATCTCTGCCCATTTTTTCTGACTATTGATGACATGAGACGATGCCGTGACTAAATTTAACATATTGCAATAATATTTCTAACATTCTCTTATGTCCCAGTCCACAAATCTCTCATCTCAACTCCTTGACTTGAAGAAAATTGAAAATAGTGGCATTCATTAAAACATGGGTTCAAGGATGGCATCAGGAATCATGACTGTGAGCATGTGATTGTTGCTGATTTATCAAAAAAGAAAGACATTTGGGCTAATTAATAGCAGAACTCTTCTTAGAAATGCTAAGAACTTATGGAAGCAAACATACTCCTAAAAAGAAGAATAAACAACCTACAGTACCTTTAGGTTCCTGAAAAAGAACTACAAAAAATGGCTTCACTTTTAACTAACTTATCTCCATACTTTCTGTGCTACATTCAGACTTTCTAAAATTATCTCTTTCCTGCCCCTTTGCTAACCCAACAGTGTCATTCCCCATCCCAAAGGCATAGAAAAGAGTTTTTAAGCCATTAAGGAACATTAATATTCTTTGTTTAATCCCTGGCCATCCATTAGTTGCCTAGTGATAGGCTGTTTCACAGTAATCAAGATGACAAACTCATAACAGTGTTATAAGCAAGCTCATGGATATAGTTTGCATAGTGGAGAACTGATGTTTGTTGACTAAACTATTATATACCTTGCAATGTTTAAACTTACAGTAACATTTAAATAATAATGAAACAGAAGTAGAGGACACAACAACACACCACTAAAAATTAACAGGTGCAAAAAATTAAAAGTTTTAAAAGCTAAGGGAAAATAAGAGAGGTAACTGGCATTGAAATTGAGTTACTTAAGTTACAACTGGTCATTTAGTGACTGTTTCAACTTATAACAGACCTCCCCTCCCAAAGCTACTAATGATCTGATTTTGAAGTTACAATGACCATCCCTACCCTTGCGGTCATATGATTGAATTTTGACAACCAATTCACATTTATGGCTGTCTACAGTGTCCCACAATCTCATGACTGCAATTTTTGATGGTTTTGTTTTGCTGGTTTCTGGTATTTACTTCCAGTTTCGTTGGGTAAAATGAATTAGCTTAACAACTACTGCAAAAAAAAAGTCATAAAATCAGCTCCAGTCACATGATGATTGGCTTAATGACTGCAATGACAACTGTAATTCCATACTTATTTCTAGATGTAAGTCAAGGACTAACTGTAAAACAGAACATTTTGCATGGATACCAAGCTGAAAATTGGTTGCTAAATGCAATAAAAGCACCATATGATGGAACTGAAGCATGCATGAAAATAAATGGAATGCTTAACAAATAACAGAAAGTTCTAGTTGGATAAAATCAATGAGAACCTCAAAAATAAAGAGGAGAGAATTTTAATATCCAAAGGTGTGGTAATATATCCATCATATTCTGCAAGTTCTTGTACAGCTTTGTAAGATCTGGGGGTATCACAAACGCTCCTCATGAGGGCAGTAGTGTCTTTATGATGAGAGTTTGATCCTGTTATCTGCAAAGCTCAGAGGCCAGGAATCTGTGTGGGAGTTCACAGTACCTATCCGAGCCATTCCCATGAGACCTTTGGTGCCCTGCTTTCTCACGGGAACTTTATCACCTTCGCTGAGGCCTAGCTAGATAATGTTGCTGAGCTAATGTTGAAGTCATTGTTTTGATTTTGTATTTGCATTTTCTTAATAAATACTGCTACTCGAGGGCTCTCGGGGCTGGCAGTTGCTCAGACGTCTTCCCTGCGTCTCCCATCATTTTTCAATTGCCAGTCCATCACAAGTGGTGACCCCGACGTGATAGTTTGGAAGGCTATACGTTTT